TAGTCGAATAGTCGGATATGAGCACCGAGGAACGATCCCACCGAAAGAACCTAGCACGATTGCCAAAGATCCCAATCCCGCACAAAAAGCAGCGAGGCCGGCGCTTGAAAGAGACGGTGGCATAGTAGGAGAATTGATCCCAAACCCCTGTTTGGTATTCATGAGGAGTGTCTGGCCTCGACTCGTCCGTAGTATTGTAAAATGGGTCTTGCCTATCGTTTGGCTTGACTTCGACGAATGCTAATGCACATGGCCAAGAGCTGTCCTTCCCCTTCGAGAGAACAACCAGGTCTGGCGTCCCAGGATCCTTGGTGTCTTGGGAGTGATTGACGACCTCAAATTCGATGGGAGGGTTCTCTGTCCAAAGAGACGAGCACATCTTATTCAGCGCTTCCTTCTGCCGGAGGGACTATGGGTCAGTGCTAACGCGTCAAAAAACTATTTCATTACGTACTAGGGGTTCATACATCTCAAGTTCGACCCCGTCCCCCGTCGGCACGCTCTGCAACTTCGCTGAGACACCGATCTGAGCGTTCGGGGATATTGCCTGCGAGGCATTCTCGACCACATTCTCGAATTGACGTTGAAACGTAATGCGCAAGAAGTCGGTCATGGAAACAGGTCCAACCCGTAGCCTTGAGGCCTCACTTCCGGCTTCTGTCCGTAGCGTGCTGATGGGGAGAGTCTGGCTCTGAAATTTCCGCGTACAGGACAGCGGTCGTTCGGATGGGAGGGATGCCGGAGTATTGAATAGTACAGGAGCATTATTTTTGGCAGGTGGTGTATGAGGACGTTCAACGTCGCCGGCAGAGTCGCCAGCGGCCGGTGTGGCATTGACATCCGCCGGAGCAGATGTGCCCGGTATAGGTACCGCGACATCATCGAGCGGTGGGGGAGACGGGGAAGCAGGCAGAGGGGTATCCGGAGGTGGTGTCGCAGCAGGTTCAGACATTGGGGGTGCAACAGTCAGCAAAGAAGAAGGTTGAAAAGCGACGGCCACCCACCGAGCTTGTTAAATCGCTGGAGTTTGAACTCCGATGTCCATTGTCCATTGTTATGAGTACTTCGATGTGGCTCTAAAACGCACGTGTTGATGAGTTCTGCAACCAATATTAATGGTGTTGCGCGACGAAGGCGTGTTGTGGCAAGAGACGGGATGAATTTCTCACGTTGCCGCGGTCGAAGGCGGCACGTGCACCGTGACCGTGACTCGTGTTCCCGGGCCTCGATGGAATCTCTCCTTGGGAATACGCCCTGCCAGCAACCCTGGAGCGTGAATGATACTCGTTCACACTCGTGTCGAGTTATTGGCGATGCGGGACGTTACATCCTCTTTCAGTGCGGTCCGTGCACCCGTCTCAATTTCCTACGATGAACCAGAAGCAACCGCATGTCACTTGATACATCAAGTACCCGTATTGAGCCTGCGGCAAATATGGGAATACTTACTCGGGTCGAGGATCCCATTTCGCTTATGATTGTCGATTCTAGAGTACTCGACAAAAGTGGAACAATGCCGCTTCTACTTACGCGAGCAAGAATCTAATCCTCTCGCTGGACGTTATCTCTATTCAGTATCGCTGGCCTATCTGTGAGGCAACTCCATGAACAAAGTTTGACCTTTATCCTAATAGTTATCTCACGCTTTGCCGGTGACTCAATCCGCGTATTGTACCCAGTGCTCCCACCTCACCACAAGCTAGACGGACATGCTAGATCCCACTGGTCCCAAATCCTCCAAAAACGGCCTGCAATTCCAGCATTTATCGGGACAGCCACACCAATTCGATTGGCCCAGTCGTAGAAACTCAAGGCTATTGCCTCTCATCCTCCTTGGAAGTCACAATCCTGCATGTATATATCACTCCTTCACATCCTCCTCCACCGTCCACACCGGCCAGACGGACCTGTACTTCCCGAAAGCCACCCACGCAAATGCCACGAGGAGCAGCTCCGATTGCGAGGACCGCGTAGTTCATGTTGATCGAGTCCACCGGATGGGAGGTGGGCAGAATGAACAAGACACAGGTGAAAACGGTGAACTACAGAGACAGGACACGAGAGATCAGCCAGACTTCACTAGAGGACGAGGAAGCTGGCTCACCAGAGCGCTGGCTACATCAATTGGCCGTGAATATCGGTCAAGAGAGAACGGCCCTCGCTCAGATAACCTGAATACGAGGTCGCTTCGTCATTCCGCAATGTTATAAAGTAGTACAAACTCACGACGCGGGCCAGAAGCAGCGAACGAGAATGGGCTAGAGGTAGCTCAACATGACTGCTACGGCAGCCGAGGACAATATAGCGTTGAACTACGGGTATGTCACCACACAGATGCAGAAGTGAAAGCAACATCACTCACTGCAACGGTGAAACCGATATACGCACAAGAGATGATGCAGCCAATCAGCACCGACACCCACACGCCGAAATACGGCGCCTGATTCCGATTCAGCGCCATAAACCGCCCGCGCATGGGCATCGCATTATCCCTCGCAAGCGCATAAAACGACCACGAGCTTGCCGTGAACGCCGTCACTGCCGCCACCATAACTGCGCCGCGCATATCACCACCAGGGCACACCAGCGTAGCCTTTTCCCCACCGCGTCATAGTACAACTGCGCGATGGGGATCGCGTACGATGTGCCCTGGATGGAGGCGACAGACTGCACGGAGAAGAGGAGCGCGAGCATGTACGCGAGCCCGATGAGCCAGGAGCGGACAATGGAGAAGACGACAGCGAGCGTGGCGAGGACGGCGGCGTTCTTGGCTTCTTCGGCCACTTGCGCAGCGGTCCCGCAGCCCTCGAGGGTGTAGACGGCTTGGAGGAAGCCGAGGAGGACCACGAATCCCCGGGAGCCCCAGCCCGTGAAGCTGGCGGTGAGCGTTTAGCAAGCGCCAGGATGGATATGAATCGGGGCATACTTTTCAAAGTCGGTGAACACGAATTCCGCCGAGTTCTACGTGCGAGATTCGTCCACATACCATTCGGGTGAAATGGGAGGCGGCGCGTACGTACCTTCCCAGGTGCTTTCACGAGGAGTTTTATTACGAGGACGCACATCCCGCCTAGCGTCCACCAGACATTAAACGAACTCATCCCTCCGATCGCCTTTGTGCCGATAGTGTCGATGATCGGGTACGGGCTCTCACCTGCACGACGTTCCACCGTCAGGACTGACTATAGCTCCTTCTAGGCCTACGACGGCTCACAAACGTATACAGTCTGCGAAGACGCACCCATCGAAGCCTCGGATGACAGCCCATGCCAGGAGGGGTACGACGTCGCGATAGTGTTGATACGTTCGGAGCCCAAGACACGAGATACGCGAGAGATTCAACGAACTCACATACATAATTTCCGGCTGCGTATTAATCGGCCTTCCTAGCTCTATGGGAAGCAGGCGGTGCCGCTGGCCAATCAAGCCTTCAAGGACTTGTTCTCTATCCCCATCCGAAAGTGGCGAGGTAATCTCGCTACGTCGCGTGGGCAGCCTTCACAGGAGGCCCACGAGGTACGTGCTGACTTATATATGGTATTCCCCGAGGTACTGAATTGCGCGTCTTACCAGTTGTACGTGCCGGCGACAGAACCGGGCCAAGTTTGGCCCACACAACGGGTAGGGTGCATGCACGATACGCATGACTATCATATCCAACTCCCGGAGCTATTGCAGCCATCTATACCTGAAATGAGTCAATCGACGGCTCCTGAGAACCATGCAAATGAACTCACCGAATATTTGGAACAAGCAACTGAGCAACAGGCGGGTGCCTCAGCTCTCCCGCAGTCAGTCATTGGATCATCGACATTAGATGAATCTACTCCCCACGGCCCACAGTACGTATTCCTCTCGTACGAGCCATTACAGTCGACGGCAGAAAGGGCGGTGTGGGTTGGGGGAATCCCAGCGCCGAAAGAACGAAAAAGACCCCGAAAGCACCAAGCATCGATCTCGGAGGACAAAGACCATCGAAAGAGGTATCGGTAGCGGAGAGGTGAAAAAGGGAGATAGATATGGTGTAGAAAGGAGGGATAGAAATATAAATAGGGATTGCGTCCATGTCCCCGACAGCCTTAGTGTGACTGACGAGGTTGAAATATTTCGAGGCGTCCGATGACGGACATGCCATTCTACGCTTGGGCCGTCACGTAGGGTCAGGGTTGGAGAGGGACACCAAGAGTACATTATTCAGACAGAGACTCACGAGCTTCACAAATCATTCACCCAAATGGTATCCGCAACAAGACTGTTTAATGACACGTTCCTAACTCTCCGAAGCAGGCAGTGCGGGGAGATCAATCAAGCCGCTAAGTGTAATGGCGATTTTATGGGATCCTGCAAGAGACAAAGAACGTTCTGTCGATGACGATCGAATGGAGAAAGACCCCAGACATCCTAGGTGATCGATGATTGGCTTACCAATATTTATATATATATGACTTTACCTGCCATGTACGGTAAGCTCATGGGGCAGTTTCTTGCAATGCATCGCAGGTACTAGGGCTTCATTGAGATATAGGGATTATTTCTTATGTTGCTAAGACTTAGTACACCATATGCGCATTATGGAGGGCACTGACTCGAGGGGGTTTGCCCGAATGGGCGCAGGGATTCGGGTGCCACAGAGGTCAACCTCCGGTCGTGATCTGGTTTTCCAAAGGCAGACAGCTTGTCGCAATATCCTCAGCAGTAGGTCCCCTCGTCCTTCAATTCATAAGAGGCCATTAATTTGTTGACTCAGCTCAGGGGAAAGCAGCTGTACTCGCTCAGCCTAAGGTTAATAGGTTCTCATCCGATAGCACGCTGCATCAAATCAGTTATTACTCCCATTGGGACGACCACCGAGTAATTCTGTGGCCGATATACATAGATATCAAGCAATAATACATTGTGAGGTCTTGGTGGAGATTCGGAATATTCGATTATTCCTCGAAAGTCACGACCCTCTCTTCGGCATCTTCCTTGCTCTCAAATATCACTTCCTTTGTCGCGAGCCTCTAAGAGCTTCCCCTTTACCTCTCTCTTTGACCAGTATGTTGGCTTTACGCCGACCGCATTATCATTATCCTTCGCCGTACTCCACCGCGCTAGACGGTGACCACTGTGTCGATGGTGGTTGGACCTACTCTGGAAATATGGAATATAATACGATGGAAGTTGTAAGCGTACCATTATTCTATGATCTTCTGCTCTCTCATTTTCCTTCGTCTCTCAGCCACTACCACCCCAGATCCAGGCCACCTGCAATTACCAGGAGCGCATGGAGACATTGGAGAGCGTGTGTGGCTCGAGTGTCCGTCACAATGTGGTATGATCTTGTCTAATACGGACATGCTACATGACGCGCCATTATCCATGCGAAACGACTGACTGGATATTTACAGCACACTATGCACCCTCAGGCATCCGGAATGCCTACTTTCACCCGGCCTTCAACCAGTGCCACACCCCACTACGACTTCGAGGGCAGAGAGAGGGACACCCTTGCATGCCACCAGGAATGGCCGAAACTTGAGGGTGCAAAAATCTCAGAGGACTCTACGTTGGCCGATGCATTAGTAGAAGGGGCTGGGGGCAAGGTACGAGAGTTTACCCACTTTGTGGCAATGAGAGTACCGAATGCTTGAGCAGACCGATCAGCAACAACAATCCATCTATATACTCGTAGAGCGCTTGCCTACCACAGTCTCTACAAGCGGTTCAACTGCACCATACTCGACGTCGACTGGTGCGCTCGGTGAGAGGGGAGAAGCGAAGGTATGGGCACTAACCTATTCTTGTACAAGGTATCGATACTAACAGCTTGGAAAGACATCTCAGCTATGCCCATCTGCTGCCATATCGACTGCCGCTACACTGTCGACTTCCCCTGCGTATGGTGACCGCACCACCTCACCATCCACGCATCGAGCATTGATATGTGACCCGCCAATCTCATCGACTCGTCGTGGAGTATTGGACGCGGTCGAGGTGTATGCCACCCCCGAGTCCACGTCCACTAGCTTCGGAGACCTGACCGGGTCACCGTCATCGTCTACGGCCCAGCCAACAGGATATGAACAGCCACAGGACGGGACCCGCACCGGAGCAGTAGAGCCAATTGAGGGGTATGACACCCCCGTATCAACGGTAACGCATGGCCACAGCGGCGGGAGTACATCATCAACATTCTCCACTCCACGGATCACGCCTGCGGAAGGGTGGGGAGAGGTAGAGACCGGAGAATTGCTTGCTTATTCGTATCTAGAGATGGATACAGGAGATCATCCGGTACGAACTCTCACTTAAATGATCTTCTACCTTCAGGACTGAGCCGCGCGTCGTCTTAGTTCGACATAAATCTGGGAGAGTCCGAGTACACAGCCGTCACAGACCCATGGACTAATAGAGAAGATCAGGTGCGAGCGCACCTACACAATTTTCTAACCTTGGATATTGATGATCGGTCTCCTAGTTGTATGTCCCTGAGGCAGACGAAGCCCAGGAGGATTTGTCGTATATCCCTATCGGAAAGTGGCCAGCGCATCCCACTACCTCGCTTCAACAGCCTTTATACGAGGCGGAGGAGGTACGAGCTGACTTACGTGAGTTGTCCACGAGGTACTGACTATCGTGTCCCGCCAGCATGCCGCGGTGATGGATCAGAGCCAATTATGGCCGGCACAGGGGATAGGGTCTCTTGGCAATACCCATGAACCCTATAACCAACTCCCGGAGTTCCAACCATTGACACCTGAAATGAGTCAATCGGCGGCTCCCGGAGCTCACACAATCCACTCACCACATGTTCGGAACAACAAGCCACAGAGCCACGGGAGAGCGTCTCAGCTCTCCCGCAGTCAGTCGCTGGATCGTCATCATGGGGTGAATCCACCCCCTATGGGCGACAGTATGTCTTTCGCTTCTATCGACCGCCCCACTCGACGGCAGAGAGGGCAGCGTGGGTTGCGCCGCGCCACGCCCCGCCGCCGAAACAACGAAAAAGGCGAAGAAGAATCGAAGGAATCATCTCGATTGGCGTCAGAGACAGAGCCATTCGAGAGCGCTGTGTATTTAAAGGCGTGTCCGTCGATGTGCTCGATGGAGACAGCATGGAGGGGTGGGGACGTCGAAACGACATAATGTTGCAAAGATACGAAGGCGAATACCAGCCTTGTGTCCTCGAATTCAAAGTACGTCTCGTCCTCTCGCGATAGCAGAAATCGTTACTTACCGAGCCTTAGTACCGACAACACGGACAGGCCATACGCGTCGATCTAAACGAAACCAACGATACGATCAGAGTCCGGGACTTGGCGCGGATGATTGCTCGACATTTTGGGCGTTGGTGTAGGGAAAGCGATGTAAGCTATATCGTATATTTCTGGACCGGTCGACTTGCTCACCTAGTGATAGGCCCAGAGGCGAGCTGTATGCCAGCAACTAGGGCATCCATCCGACCAGTCTGGAGTGTGCGAGTGCGACCGCTAACCGACGCCGATGGAGAACATTATCTTGACGAGCATAGAGCAAAGGGGGAACTACTTTACGGGAGTATTCGTGGACCGGTGAGGAGAGAAGGATGTTTCATCGTCGACGGGGAGATCGGCCGTTGAGAGAGGAATCGGGGGTGGCGAGAGGTGAATGGATACGGCGCGGACTCTGAGCATGATATTATTCGTATCCGCCACAACTTTAGGGTGGCTTACGACCGTCCAATTTGAGGGTTCTGACTGCAATGGAAATATCGTTATGCGACTTGGCCGTCGTGTTCGATACCCATGAGAGCATCAGCCTGTCATATACAATAGAGGTACAAACCTCACAATTAATGCATCCAAAGATCTCGAATCGCGCTCCTGTCGCAACGAGTAAGATGAGACCGGAGACAACTGGTGTCGGCAAGCACCTGAGCCGTCTGAGGGATGACAGGAGGCAGGACGTAGGATCGGTTTTTATGACTCTGTTCCCCATCTGATAAGGCACGCCGCACGGTGCATCCGGAGAGAAAGACCGTTCGGTCGGCGATATTCTGACCGTTGAGAACGAATTCAAAAGATGAAGGTAAAGACCCCTGACATCCCGACTAATCGATGTCTCGGTTTACCGCGGAAAAGAAATTGGCCTAGTGTAAGCTTATATAGCCCTCAACCATGCACGGTCGACCGGCAAAATACAAGTACTAGTCATAGATGCGCCTCCCATATAACTCGCAAGAGCTGGTCATCACCCTCATCAAATGTCTCCCGCTCGACCGTTCTCACAAGACCCACAAACATGGATCGACCAATGTAGAGCCACGTGAACGCCACAATGAGCATGACAACTCCGATGGCGAGGACAGCGTAGTTCATTTTTATCAAGTCCACGGGATACGAGGTAGGCAGAATGATGAGGACAAAATTGAATACATATAGCTTAGAAAAGGGGACTGGGTATGGAATTGCCAGGACTGGACGAGAGGGCCGAATGAAAGGGCACTGGGATTAGTATGCTACGAGTCACGGCCACGGGAGAACGACCCTCGCTCGGAAAACCTGAGTAAGAGGTTGCGTCGTCATTCTGCCACGTTGCTGAAAGTGGTAGAGACTCACGACTCGGGCCCGAAGGTGCGAACAGCTATCGGTTGGAGATAGCTTGAGTTGACTGCTACAGACACAGAAGATGAGATATCGTCGAATCACGAGGATGTCAATGTCGCGATGCAGACCTGGTCAGCAACGTCACTTACCGCAATGGCGGAGCCAATATACGTGCATGAGATGATGCATCCCACGAGCACCGACACCCACATGCCAGTGCCAAAATACTGTACCGATACGACCTTAGGCAACGTCCCGTGTCCCGAGAGGTCCGTCGCCGTTGCCTCTTTTGAGATTTGTCCCGTGTCCCGGACACCTCGTTGCTTGGGGCCCCGGAGCCTAAATCCGCGCTAAATGGGGAAAAATGAACAAGTTCATTCGCAGGTGCTTTGGAAACCCTCTTGAAGCTTCTTCTGAGTCTTCTCAGCGATTTGAGCCTCAGATCTATCTGAGGAGTGTATCAACATTGCATTACCTTCACGTTAGTACGCGCAACTGCAGGTTGCGTCCCTTGTCCCGACGGAGACGTTGCTTGACCTGCCACATTCCCACGGTAAATTACATAAGCCGTTGCGTTGCCTAAGGTCGTATCGGTACAGTACGGCGCCTGATTCTTATCCAAAGCCCTAAAGCGCTCGCACATAGGCATTTCATTATCCTCCGCAAGCGTATAGCACAAGCGCGAGGTCGCCATGAACGCTGTTGGTGGCCAAAGCCTCACCTCTAGCGCACCAGATCCCTGAGGGTGACGTCCAAAAGCACAATTTCAGAGAGGGGATCACGATACTCGCAGTGACCTCAGGGGAAACATAACCGCCCGATATGTGGGGGTCGCCGCCTCGCTCCCTCGCACCGTCCACCTCAAGATTCATAACATCAGAACATACGTGTTAGCCGACCTGTGAGGCACATGAGATCTCCCAACGCACTGATACTGATACCCTGCCGCAACGTGTTCGCCCAACAATTATCTCGGACATTGTGGGTCCTCGATTGTCCTGTAAGCGAGAGTGTTGACCTTGCCTCGTGTTACTGAGACATTCGTGAATCGTGATCAGGTCAAAAAATATCGTTCATATTACCGCTGCAATCGACCATCGACGCTAGAGGACGCGGTCCTGAGACGAAACCCCAGAAACAAAGTACGCTATGTACGCATCTCGATCGATGAACATTTTCCATGTGTCTAGAGTTTCGAACCCTTCATGGTCCTGGCGTTTCATGGAAATGACGCCATGGAACGCCGGGGCGAGGTAGGAGCAATTGCGAGGCCCCCAAGCCGCGGAGGTGAAGGTGTGGGCACTGACGAACTTCGGGTCGTCTGCTCCCCGACGTTTCATGGAAATCGATTTTCAGGACGACGTGCTCCGTCGATACGTCAAGCAAGAACTGGGCACTTGGCCGGGCTATGACGGGCGGAGGAGTCGCGAGGGTGCTGACATGCAGTTAGAAGGTTCACGTCTGTCGGGCCGCGTACGGAAGCGAGGGAAGGCCGCGCTCGACTCGGCTCGAGGGAGTTAGGTGACTTGGCCTCCGAGTCGGAGACGAGATGGAGATCGAGGGGATACTACAGCTGGGGTTGTCTGCATCCAAGCAGAGGCCTATTCTGCGTTTGAGAGCCAATACGTTTCCGCTAAGGCGATCAGTGACACGGCAGAGACGGGGCAGTTTGACGAGTCGCGGAAGGGATCGTCCAGGAACAAGGGGGCGCAGAAGGGTCACGCAGTCGTCATGAGCCAAGTCAGAACGTTATGTTCATATCTTACTCACAGCTACGGGAAGCGAGCCAGTGTTGTGTTTTGGTTTGAGGAAATTCGGTATTTGCTAGTCGACCTGCAGGCCTCGGAGATGACAGCGAGATTGACAGCACAAAACGCATATCGGAGCAGGGAAGTTTCGTGATTGCCTGCACCGAGGCCGAGGCCCTTCACGCGTTTCAGAGCAAGTTTACCTGCAGTACAAGGCACGCTAGCGTTTATCGATGACGCCGGAAGCGATGAGCTGAAACGTCGAGTGACGCTGCTCCTCCAAGAACAAGGGTGCATGTATGAGTCAAGCTGTCCGGAGCGCAATATGTCAGGATGTCCACATCACTTGTGCTGCGTTCGAGTGCTAAGCAACGGGTTCATGCTCATTTTTGACTAGCTTCCAAGCGCCGGAGATGAAGTGAGGATAGACGCCGTGGAACAGCGGTGTTGGCGCGTCTCGATCACCCGAACCGAGGCCGAGGCTCTCCGTGCGTTTCAGAGCAAGTTCACTACAATACAAGGCACTCTGGCGTTTATCGATAACGCGGGGAGACAAGGAGTGGAAAATCGAGTGAGGCTACTTCTGCAAGAACAAGGGCGCGTGGATGAGTCAGGCTGTACGGCGCGTTATATGTCAGGATGTACGCATGACGCACCGGTGTCAGATGGGAATCAAATTTCTGCTTGAGAGCGTTCACTCGGACTAAGAGAGCCATACTGGGGTTAGATACAGCTGTTCGGATGTCTCCATGGTACATCCCGACAGTACATGTTCTAGATGGCTATAATTGTGACCGCAGATGAGGGTTAGATGGGCATACTTTTCGAAGTCGGTGAATACGGATCCCGCCGAGTTCTACGCGCGCGACTCATCCGCATACCATTCGCGTGAATTGGGAGGTAGCGCGTACGTACCATTGCAGGTGCTTTCACGAGGAGCGGTATCACGAGGACGAACGGCCCTCCTACCGTCTACCAAACATCAAACGCACTCATCCCTTCAATCGTCTTGGTGGCAATCGTATTAATAAATATTCACGCACCAAGCAATAACACTCCCGTCAAGGTCCTACCTTGGCCAAGGTCGGCTAGCGACGCAAGGCATAGCGCTACGCTTGAGCATACGAACGGTATGATCATATCAGTCTCGAGAGGGTGCAGTAAGGGGCGATACAAATACTTGCCTGAGATTTCCCGAGGTGCCAGTGAAGACCATGTCGATCGAGTATATCCACCCCGTGCAGAGTTTACATTACGGCGCTTGCGTGTAGCCAGCTTTTACTTACAGCCGAAAATACTCTGAACACATATCACTCACTATGCAGTACAAATCTCCGCAAGACATAGTGCAGTGAGCAGCATGAACACACTGCATATTTACACACATCCGCATCACCTACTAGTATCACTCCCTGCACCCACGACAGCACCAGAAAAGAAACCACTCACGTTCCACCACAACCCCAACGGCCCGCCCGAAAACAGCCCCGTCTGGAACGCACTGCTCATCCACGTCAGATTCCAACTGCGCAGAACGATATCCCCAAAACTCCAAACAAGCTCATCTCCCGCCGGACCTCGCTCTTGTATTCGACAGTGGGGGGTGGTTGCGTGGAACGCACGCTCTCCAGGCCGTCGCGGTATCTCACTTTCTCTGAGGACATTGCGGGCTCGGGTGGGAGGAGAGCAAAGGGTGGATGCTGCTGGAGCACCCATCAGGGAACCCAAAGGGAACCCTAACCTTGTGACGTGCTCTACCAATAACGTTGCCACTTCCTTGTGCCTGCTCTGCGTTCACGTAAGCTGTGCATCTCAGGTGGTGTCCTCGTAGAGCGCTAAAAGTTTTGCCGTGCAAGGTCTCAAGGTGACCTACATACTAGATTCATCCATGAGAGCGTGCTCGGACCTTCGTGTTCAGCCTGAGTCCCAGGGACCTAAGTGAAAGTTCTGTAAGCGTCAGATGTCAGGCGAGTGTGCTCGCATGCATTCATGTTCGTGGACAAATGCAACTCCGCATGTCTTCTTTTTCATCTTAGCCGACGACGAGTGTAGAAAAGCACGGGCACTGCGACTTCCACACCATTTGCATCGTCATGGGGCTTGCGTCAATATCTAGTGCATCGTCGCCTCATGGATGGAACTTGCTAGGTCACTGGAGTCTCTATATTGCATAGTGCTCTTCGAGGGCCCATAGTTTATACGCAATGTCGAGACCAGCCACCATTGCATTTTCCTTAAATAAACATGTATCCCGATGACTCTAGCTCGGGATTACCTCGAATACATTAATGTTTGCACGCAGGCTACCTCCCCATCCACCTCTCGGGCTTATCGCTGGGATTATCACTCGACCGCCTCACTGAACTACTTCCACGGGCAGCAGCAGGCACTGGCGTGTTTGCGAGGAATATTGCAGGCAAACGGCCCAATAAGTCCTGCCCTCCGCATGATATACATGCCTGACACCTCGGAAATGGCGAACCTGCGTGCGTTTGCGCTTCTGATCAGTGGGGCTGGGTGGATTGCACGGCGGAGGCGGTGTTTGTAGTCATAGGTTCTGAGTGGTGGAGACTATCTGTGTCGTGTCTTTTGTCCTGTTCGATAACATGTTCACAGTGTGGCCCTCGTGCATGCGAAGAGATGAGGAACATAACATGTTCTTTGTCCTGCTGGCTTGTGCGAATCGAACTCCGTGTTTTGTATGGCGGGCACCGGACCTTGCCATCCACGCCAGTTTATACTGCCCAGCACACTCTCGAGACGAGGATCGTCTGGATCAGGGACAGGATAATCCGGCACTAAGGGTGATTCCAGGCCTGTCTCGATATAGTCGTAAAGGCAATGGAATATATGATGGAAGGATGCTCGCAGCACATGTATGATGATAGGCCGCGTGTGGAACAATTACAATGAAATCATTGTGCCACGAAATTAGAAGTCCACTTGATATCTGCAATCAAACATGCTCTACCATTAACGAAGTCTGATTGGCCCCATGCCAGGTCCTGCTTCCGGATTATGAGTGACCTAGGCGTTCCACATATTATGCTCTTGCTTTGTGACATGACCGTTCCGGTCCCATGTTTCATCGTATCGTATGCTGCTGATTGGGCGCATTACAATATATAACGTAACCAATAGATTTACGTTGGAATTCGTTAAGTCTGCGATGGGGTCGACGAATTCAACAGTTCTGCGAACAACATGTCGGAAGTTGGCGAGCCTATTCTGCTCATATAGACTACCATAAAAGTGATCATTGTTTCAGCGCTTTAATCAGGAATAAGCGACGAACAAGGCATTCCAGCCGCTTGCAGATCGATAGACCATCAATTCAGAAAACCACGTATGGTCGGAGTGGGTGCCAGGGACGTCGGAAGAAGGTAGAGAAGTCCAGATGGTCTGATTTCTGTCTCTCGGGGACTTGAAATTGCTTGTCCGACGTGGTCCGTAAATGATTTTCAAAAAGTGGGCCCATCGACCTGCAAATGGCTGTCACGTCCACGCCAGCCACACTGGTGACTGCGGGGCTGGCGGTGTGACAACTGTCACGTGACACGTTTGGACGCGGGGACGTGAGAAATACACATCTCTTTTCCGCCACACCACGTTCCCGTACTGACCGGCCACGGCCTTCATCTACACGTGTAGAGACAAGCCACAAAGAATCACTGAATAGAATGGACAATGAACAGCGGAGTTGCAACTCCAGCGACTTTAAAAGCTCGGTGGGTGACTGTGGCCTCTTGTCGCATCCTCTTCCGTTCTGAAGATCGCTACCACGCTAATGTCTGAACCTGCCCCAACTCCCCCTCCCGATACACCTCCCCCTGCGTCTCCGGCTCCACCGTTATTGGACGACGATGACCTTCCCGTGGCGGCGGCGTCTCCTCCCTCGCGCGATCTCGGTGCCACTCCACCTGCTGCCGACACTGCCAACGACGACGGACGCCCTCGCACTCCCACTGGGACCCAACCTCCTGTTCATGTATTCAATACGCCGGTCTCTCTTCCATCGAACCGGCCGCTCGCCTCTCGAAAACTCCAGAGTCAAGACGTCGATCTGGCGACATTGAAGACAGAGGCCGGCGGTGAGGCATCAAGGCTACGAGTTGGACCAGTGTCCATGAAGGACTTTATGCGCCTTACCTTCGGCGTCACT